TTAAGTTTGACTTACACGTGTAAGCTAATCGAACGTACCCATAGAGAGATCTATTGTATGTGATGAAGTACCACACAACATGTATGTTACATGCATACACTTACAGGAACCAGTTTTTCAACCGGTTGTTATACCAAAGATCAGGAAATTTGGGAGTTCAAAGAGCAAAGACCAAACTTTAATTTCATACAAATTCAGGTTAACTTAAACCATAAATGAATTCAAAAAGGAAAGTTAATATAACTTCACTGATGAGAACAATGCTTTACTTTTTGTATGCATATTGGCCTTTTCTCTGAGGAACAGATTGCAAATTCAGAATGGACGATGAAGGAATCCAGCCTTGTTGTGCTGACAGGGTTTAGGATGCTAAGTCCATACAACCAGACCATGACATTATAAATATTTGCACAAGCATCTATCTCGCAAAGACATCTCCAATGCACTTTTCTTCCAATATGTTTCTTTTTTAAATTTCCAAACCATAATCAAGGTCCAGAATATCAGACCATTTTATCTTGTTTATCCTACAGCTGGGTACCTGCAGAACTCAGGTTATTATAAAAATTGTGGAAAACTAATTTTGCCACATCAGAATTCCTCGACTTTGCTCTACAATTCAAATCAAGAAACTGTTTTTGAAGCATGTCACAGATGCCTTTATTACAACTCTATCAGCAATTAATTAATGAAAAGATGTACAGTCGACTCTCGTTAATACGAGGGCCTTGGGACTTCCTAAATTAGCTCGTATTATCCGGACCTCGTCTTACTGCCGTCCAGCTGGACGTTTGTATCACCAATCGACCATAGGTAAAGTGTACATGTGTACGAAATCTTGTAACATCTGAGCTCGTATTACACATTTTTTCCCTCATGGGAATGTGCACAATTCAGTCGGGACGGGCAAATATGCTCGTCTAAACCGGAGTCTCGTCTTACCAGAGCTCATATTACTGAGAGTCGACTCTAGTTTGCTTTCACCAGAGGCTTTTTTCATAACATACAAAGGCATTGTGGGAAGTCAAACAAAACCACACCATTTTTTGATTGGTTATTGCATAATTCTTTTGCATGTCTGAATACGTGTACAGTAGGCATATCAAGCCCTATTCGAAGTGTCGTTATTTAGCAGTTTTCTTGACAAGTTGTTTGATTCCAGATTGGGGAATACCATGGATCACTCTCTAAAGCAGTGACCACTTATCACTGCAATAGGAAGATCACTGGATACTTTGCAAGCACTCATTATCTCATCAGGGTTGCTGTGTAACTTAACTGCAAACCGATACTGAAGTTCTGACTTTCATTCTCTTGGATTTTCCCTTCAACTTCAAAACTAAGCCTTCCTTTTTTTCCATCAATTCATGGCTGGAACTTAAAGATTCTAATAGTGCATTCACAATCAAGACATACAAGACATGAGGAGAGAGTAAAATCCAGGTTACTAAGCATAATAAACAAATATTTCGAACTCAAGTAAAAGTAGTTGGTCAGCATTTTGGTTGAGACAGAATTGGCCATCTGAATTTATTTTGCATTCATGTTTGTACTTTTCTAATTTTAGAGTGACATGTACATGTAGGTACATGTACATGTACATATATGTACATGTGTATTTCCACTGGAGCAACGACCTCGACCTGCAGGAAGCCATACACGTACCGGCAGCTCTGACAACAGATTTGTATGCAGCAGTTAAACATTCCACATCAACATGGCTCTTTTTAGCCAATGAGGGGGTGCTTCTGCTCGAGGCACTATCCGTACATAATAACACTGAATTGAACCTTTTTGCCTCCGTCTATTTTGGAGTATAAATTCTACAAAACTTAGAAGTGTGCACTTACGTGAATGTTTTCAGTTCCAAACGGCGTAGAACTGGCAATGACGGTGGTGTCTTCAGACCCTGACCCAATCTCCCCTGTGAAGAAGTTTAAACATGAAACAGCCATCTATTCAGCACTCAAAACAAACACAAAACAATCGTATAGCTTTGGCAGAGCTGGCAGAACTGGTAAATTTCTAACATTTGACTATTGTATCAACTTTTGAGAAAATGGTGACAGATTAAGAACTTTGTCAGATGTTCAAAAGTGCACACACCACATGTGTACATGTAGGGGTCAATCCCACTATTATTAATTATACTCACATGGACTTCAGTTTGTTTTTGAAATTTGTGTTTTAGCAATCACCTGAAAATATTCATTAAAAACTTACCATCATCTTTGCCTTGAAGTTCTTGGTCACTCTTTTCTTGTCCACTGCAGGAAAAAAATGGCAAAATTGTCCAAAATTGGTGTTCTTCAGACACAAACAACACCACACACAAAAGACACACAGCACTGAGAAGTACAGTTTAAAAGGTAACATAATGCAACAGGAAATGTTTAGTTACACTTAAGCTGACTAGGTCAAATTAGTTATGATTCCCTACATGTATACTAGCAGTCGGCACTTATTGCAGATGTTTCTAAAGTTTTACAATCATTGGGCCAAAGCAATTGTGTCATTTTATCAAGCAAAGGTCACAGGCTACGCACAACTTTGTCTATAAAGAACAAAACAGTCAAAAGAAGAATTGTACCTGCTAATTTCACCATTCACAGCCATCATGTTCAAGGAAGTTTTTATTTGTTCTCATTTAAAAACTCTCTGGTGACCGCCAACTTTTCTGTGTGCATTTAACGTCTTAGATTACAACAAGGTACAAGTATACTGTATCTCCAAAGAATAAGTAACGATCTCAAAAAGCATGCATTCTGTTTGGTCTCCAACAGCAAGATTACTCCAATGACTCAGTTTGAGTGACCTCTACTCAACTACAGGGGTGGGAGGATATGTTGTACCAACTATTACCATGTCTCACAAAAGCCGTACGCTCACGTTTTTAGACCTGAAGATCGGTGCGATTTTTCAAACATGCATCTACATTGTATGCTTCGTGAGACAAACGTGACTGATATCTATTTATAACTTCCAACTCATAGGTGTTTCTATTTTTGAGATGGAGACCAGCCAACTCACAGAGCACTGCTTGACTGGCCTACATTTGTTTTAATATAATCTTGCAGAGACTTAGTACCCACTGGCTGTGGGAAGCATCCTCTTTTGTTGGCACCCCTTCAGCAGAATGAAAGCACTTCTCTTGAGCCATCTAATTGGCTGATACGCAGCATGTGCAACTTTGAGAATGAAACACTGTGTTAAAGGAGGGATGTTCCTTTGAGTAATCTAATAAGACAGACTGATGGGAACAGGAAGTGATACATGTTGTCGTGGTGATGGTAAGGAGCACCTGACATGAAGTAGCGGACATGTGACTCTGATCTGTCGAGGATGGAAATCCCTAAGTAAAAAATTTATAAATAACCCCAGCAAAGGGTTTTATCCAAAGTTGGAACAACGCCTTGTGCAATGAAAAATTGGAAAAAGGGACAAGTTTTAGAAAAACACCCATCTCCAGCATGCTCGATAACATGCATTCAGGATGCTGAGAGTCCATGTACACCATGCAAGGGCTAAATCCACAAATGCTGCATTTCCGCATGTTATGCCGGCCTACATTTCCTTTTTCTTTGGCAATTAATCAAACACCAGATAGTAAGCTACCAGTACCCAATGCCACAAACTCACACACTTTACTGGTGTTGAATTCTGTGTAGTAAGAAAAGGTAAGTTCATGTTACAAACCAATGAGCAACATAACCTTTCTAAAATTATTTTCAACAAGCAAATTTTAATTTTGCAAGTTCATTTCAAAGCATGAAATAACAGTCTCTTCCCTGACGGATGCCACGGTAACAGCATCCCATGTTATCCACACTTGGATAACTTTAAATGTTTAATGCTACATGTATATCAAATACAAGTATGTGTAGTTTTCATGTATACATGTACATTTGCATATACAAATACGTGTAACTGCAGAAGGGGAGAGGCAATATCCATTGCTTACAGCCATCAAAACAGGACAAAGCTAAGAAAATGCAATGTGGGTTACATTTCCCAGCTATAACCTTCTGTAATTTCCCAAATCCTTGACTGGGAAAAATGTTTTAAGGGTTTTATTCTGAAGCACAATAAGCATTGCACATTCATGCCTCACGTTTCCTGTTTTGTGTAAACCGGTGACTTCATGGAAATTGAGAGGAAAAAACATGTACGATCAGATCCACACAACACAAAGATCAATCTTTTCTCTTTGAAAACAAGGAAAATCCAGGCATTATATTTACTCCAGCTGCATTTCATCAGAAAGTTTCAATAAATTTGGTAAACCACAAGAGTACATGTAGGAATGCTATAAAAGAACGATAGTCCACTACGCTGAGGTTACTTCTCTCCGATCAGTGTAAATGTTTTCTACAATGGCCCCAAGTACCACATCTGACAGTGATCCCACAGGAGATGCTGGTGATGCATCTTTCACGCTGTGGCAAACCAGAGATGTTTTACGAGTCATCATTGCCTGCCTGGCTGTGCTCAGTAACAGCATGGTGATCATTGTTATACGGTTGCGGCATCACATGTTCCGTTCCTTCACCAATCATCTCATCTGGCATCAGGCTGCCATTGATGCTGGGTCAGGTGTGGTGCTTCTCCTTTATACTATTGGCAAAAAAATTCCAGCGATATCCGTTCTGAATCAATCCTCAGAATCAAGTCGCCGTGATCAGCTGGTGTGCCATTTTGTCTACTCAGAGGTCTTTCTCTGGTATTTTGAAGTGGCCTCTACCTACAATCTTGTCATCATTTCCCTGGAACGACTTGTTGCCATCTGTCACCCAGTCAGGCATCGTAACTCCTGGACCCGCGATAAACATAAGTTTGCCATAGTCGCAGCCTGGAGTATAGCCTTTGTCTATGGCTTGCCTATTGCCTTCTTTTTTGAGCCACATCAAGGTTCTTGCCGTGCAGTGGACTTACAGCTCGGGGTGCAGATTTTGGTCGGTGTAATGAGTGTGACAATCGAGTATCTCTTCCCTCTATCTATCATGATATATGCATACACCAGAATACTCATCACATTGACCAAAAAAATCAACAACTCTGCAGACCGCCAACACAACACGCTGACCAAAGCAAAGAAGAACGTTCTTGTCACAGTCCTACTAGCTAGCATTATGTTCGTCATCTGCTGGACACCAGTCGAAGTTGACCACATAGATGAGCTTTTCTTTGCCAACAGCTTTGGTCAAACAACCTACGACATCCTCACTGCATTGCTGGCTTGCAATATGATTGCCAATCCGATCATTTACTGCTTTAAGTACGAGCATTTCCGGTCGCAGCTCAGGTATCTTCTGAAGAAGCCAATTCGAAGGAATCCAGAGAGCCCTGAGCAGCACATGAGCCTTTCCATCACAGCCAGGGAACTATAATATGCCCCAAGTTCGCAATGATTACATCAAACCTGTACCTCATGAATAACGGGCATACATGTACATGTAGAGTCAGCCTACAGCATATTCTTTGCTTTGTGCCTACAGGACTACCTTATATGGGCATCCATCACAAGGTAGCCATCTCAGTACCATGGGCTACAGTTTGTTTTGCTTTTCAAGTTACTGCTGATACAATAAAAACCTACAATGTAAATAAGAAATGAAGGAAAACGGATGAAACTAACATTCACACATTCCTAATGGTAAAAATGCATCAAATGACCGCGTATATCCCTATGTACATACATGTACATGTATTAATTGATAATGGCCGCTGAGAAGTGATAATGCTCGCTGCATGAATCATGCACTGGTACATGGATATGAGACAGTTTAATCAGGTCTGACTGGTCAGGAGTCTGTCATGTCTGTGTGCGTGCGACAAACCACACGCATGCCAAGTTCATTGAAGGGGATTCAACTGGATGACTTTCAAAAGGCATATACCACAAATGTAAAATGGACGGAGGTGTTTGGGAAAGTAAAAGTAAAGTCTTAGAACAAAATCATTGGAAATCCATCACACAGGCATATTGACTTTTGACTCTGACTAAAAAGGTATTTATGAACCGGAATAAATATGTGCTACTTGCTCAGGAGAATGAATGTTGAGAATGCCCTTGCCTGCAGCTCGGGCATAAGTCACATCCATTCTCCTGAGCCCATCTTCATCGCACGTTTAAGACTGGCCAAGCACATATCTATTCCCTTATTAATGAGGTGTCCCCATTACGGCCTACTGTCAATTATAGGCTGATGATACATGATACTAGGCCTAGGCCCCTACATGTAGGTCCTTTTAATTATCATGCTTATGAAAAACTAACACGACTACGGTCCCCCTTTTATAACGTGTATAACAGCACGCTCAAATGACTACACATTTGATTTGACCATGGAGGAATAAAACACAATGTTTGGCACGTCTGCAGTGGTCTGTCTGGTAACTTACTGTTAGTGGACCATATCGGCATCGTGATCGGTTCGCACTACATTTCTGGCGCCATCCTTGGATCACTTTATCAATCGCGTTACTGACATGACTGATGCACTTCTCATAAAAATCCAAGGATTTTTCTGCCACTAAATTCCTTCATCTTCACAGCTTGACCCTTCCGAACGGACTAATAACTGTCCTTACCTGGGTTCCAAGGCCTGTTCTAACATATCCATGTGGTTTTGCTGAGAGAAGGGACCGCAAACGAATCAGGGAGGCTGCAGTAAGTCACGGGGCCAAACACTGGGTCATGTGGGTGTACATGTGACATTGAAACAAAATGGCCGCTTCCTCATCCACCTTTCCATTCTGTAGCGTTATTTCGTGCGCTTTTACATAGGGTGACTATTCACACACATATCGCTCCGCAAAGCGAGTACAAATTTTCATCTTGAAAAAAAGTGTCCTGTTCTCAATACTGAGTCAGTGCATTCATATTATTCAAACTTTCAGTATGCTTCGAGGTGGAAAATGAGAATTCCTCTCTTGACTGACAAGGAATTGCAGTCTGTTTTCCGGTTGGCGTAGTAATTATCTCCTGAACTGGGTTACGAGTGTGTGAGGTGGCAACGATAATCGAGAGACATCATGACACCACCTGATTCTGACCAATCACATGACTTGGATTAAAAGCTATCACATGAAAAGTATGTCAGCGTTTCACGAAAAAAAGTATTAGATCATTAGTGCTTGGGCAAAATTCAACTTCTTTTGTGGCATTTTACATCGGGATTCAGATTTCGAAACCTTTGACAAATGATTACATTCTGTCAGGGTTGTACACGAAAGGGGCGTTAAGTTTTAAAGTCAGTTGCAGCCTGAGAATTTCTTCCCAAGCGCGGCTTACAGTACTTGGAACTGAGCTCCCCCCCCCTTTGATTTGAAGCTTCGAAATAGCGGTGATCGAAAATCAATAGGCCTAAAGAACACAAGTAAATGCATATCGACTGGCCAACAAAATTTGATTTACCCCAAAACTGTTAAGACTGGGGTAAAAATTAATTACCCTCCCCGAAAAAAATCTAGAGCACATTTCCCCTAAAACCACGTGACTTTTTAAATTGACTTGTTTTCACGATTTAAAAAGTGTATAATATCAGTTAACACGCGATCGAATACATAAGAATGAGCATTACAATAGCAGTTTTAAAACAAAAACTACGTCTTTATTTCTGTCATAAGGATCATTTTGAAATTATATTTAAAAAGACAGGGATAGATCGAATGTTAATTACGAAAATTTCTCTCAATGCCCAAGTTAAAGAGTTGGTTTTACACAAAACAAAGTATTTTATCATATAATGCATCAATCAAATTAGTGATCATCAAAACTCCATCGCTATGTCGCAGCAGCAGCGTCGCAACTAAACGCAGCGAAATGTCCTCTTCACTTAATTCATATGCAAACTATGAAGTGATCGATCAATTTTTATTGTCGCAACGACTGGCACGTTACTACCATCATCAACTTGAACTGTTGACCCCACGAATGCGCTACTTGTCGCATTATTCGTCACAACCATCATCACATCCACTCACCATGTACTCAGTTGTACCGTGGAGCTATAAAAAAGGGATCGACTCCGAGCTCCATGGTGACCCTCACCTTTCACCGTGACCTAGGGTGCAGTCTACTAATCACAAGTAAGTTCTGGCCAGCTTATTAGCATTAAAAGTACCCCCTCCAGTATCTTTTTGAAAGGAGACTGTCAGTTTTGCCCCCAAAATGGTGAGATTGTGTAAATCGTTGCCAGGAACAACTTCCTGGCCGGGGTCTTCTTTTTTGAGCTGTCATATGAGAGCAGCCTAATGGCCAAAGACTGCGATTGAAAAATGATTCTACGTGACGGAGAAAGTTGAGGGTTGTCACTTGAAAAAAATGGCTGCAATCAGACTTTAAAAAATCCCTATGGGGGGAGATGATTTTGTTTTGTGGGAATAATTTAAAATGTAATTGGTTAACCCACAAAAAGCAAAAAGAAATTGAAAGATTAGGGACCAGCCAATAATTTGATTTGCGTTTCAGAAACCTACAGGGATGTTGTATGCATGATGTTATTGGGCCCTGACGGAACAGTGCTGATTTTACACTTGGATTAGTGGGCTTGGATTAGTGGACTGTACCCATCATGATGCAAGCTAGCTTTTATAGTAAAAGACCGTAATGAGTTCTATTTCTCAGTATGGAAACATTATTGTATGGGCTACACACGAGCAGCTTAATGACAGCGAATATAGCCTAAGTAATGTTCTGCGGTTCACATACTAGTCCATGATGACGGTCCAAGATCTCATACAGTTTGTCGGCGTAGTGATCCCTTCACTGAACTAACTTGATACAGCGCAACTTGATGAATGGATGACGAGTTCCCGTGATGCAATGGTATAAGCATGTGCATAGAACTACAATAGCCCCCAGTCCCCGAAATAAAATTGTCCCTAGAGGCCAAGTACGGAGTGACTATAAAAAGAGTTACCTTTAGTCAAAAAAGGGTAAAGTCTGCTTGATAGCAATCATAGCAAAATGGGGTGCACAGACAGAAAGAATACGATGAGGGGTTGATAACACAGATAAAGATCGGAACAGTTTCTGCAAAAGCCGAGACGGTACGCAAACCTGAATTTACACGCGACGATAAAAGCTTTGAACCTGTGTTCAAAATATTTTCAAGCAGGTACGTGAATCCAGCGTAGCGGTCAACCGCCCCTGCTCTGACACAAAAAATAAGTAAATAAAAACTGAAATATCAATAACAGTATTCATTTTTGCAAAGTGATATCCTGTCAGGGTAATTATTATTTGAACATCAGAAAAAATGAAATGTTTGTGCCCGCCTGTCCGCAACAATCGGGTCCACAACAAAATCTGATGGGTCTGATGCACCCGAAAATCTTGGATCTGCATCTACCAAACTGACTTCTGTACGAGCCAACAGATTATTACAAACGGGATAAAGCTTCAATTTTTCTCATGGGAAAGATAACTCCTTGCCGCGCGCCTACTGACGGATACAAAAGCAGTTTCCATCTGTTAACACGAAAAGCTTCACTTTGCATGTGTGAATGTAATTCATTGTAAATTCCTTTTGCCTTGGTTAATTCGAACAACGCTTGATGTTTTTCTCTCCAGTTGCTGTCATTAATTGAACATTGCACTTTTTGTACAGAAATTGGCCGGCTGGACTGTGTAGGCCCATGTTCCTTCCTCCATGGTAGGCCACCTCCAAATTCCTCTTATGGCTCCTTCTTCATCCTTTCGGGCAAGTGTGAGCGTTTCGGTGTCTATTCGTAGTCATCTGAAAGGTGTATTTCTTAAAACTGAAGAATCTCTGTAAGATTGATCCCCTAAGAACATTCAAAAGCGTCTTGGTACTTCTTCACAAGGTGATGGCCAATGTCATCTCGTCCGAGCTCGAACATGGCATTGGCAAGATCGACGGCTGTTTCGTGAGGGGCGTTCATCTTCAAGCTTTTCCCCCGCCAGTCCCTCAGGACTGCGAAGAGCCGCTCTTTTGGTGGGAAACCTCTCTCGATGCTTCCGATCCGGTTGTCGGGGAGACCGAGGGATTGCGCCACCATGCGCCAGTCGTTGGAGAGGCTTGAGGCGATTCGGAGTAACTCTTCGTCACACAACGGTCCTTTGAAAATCCGAGGAAAAAGTCTTAAAAAACCCAAAGTTTCATTGACAAAAGACAGACTAACCAGTGTGTGTAACACTGTGTGAAAATACAAGGCAAAACCAGATTTGATACGTGCACGAAGTTTATTTTGTTCGTTCTTTCTGCAGCTTTTGCGGGGCATTTCGGCCCCCGCCCACTGGACAACATTCTCGAAATATGTTAATTCTCAAGCACGTCACCCTGCAGTTTATCATTTTTTTCTCCGTAAAACGAATCGGTTTAGTGATATTATTATAATTTGGAGGCACAATAATTTTACTCCCAATTTCAATCCAATGAAAATGTTTCAATTTATATAAATGCATTTCGGGAAAATGTTGCGTGCCTTTTCGTAAAAAAAGTTTGGTAAAGTCGTTTGAGGGGTACATTTATCATATACACAAACCTTTTTGTTTTCGTGATATGCAACATGGATTTTAATGTTTCTCGTCTGGAAAATTGTATGCTCAATAACAATGGAAGTCTTATCTGTGTTCCAACTTCCGTGGAATCAGACTTTCAATGATCGGAACTCTCACTCGGAAACTTAATATAAAAAAAGCATAATTTTCCAAAGAGCAAAACTCCTTGTCTCTCACAGATGGAATTGTTTGCTTCATAGTTATCGAATAAATTCTGTTGACTTCCTATCCTACGGAATGGTTATTTTTCTTGTGTGAATCCCAAAGGGGTTTACTCAAATAGTCTTTGGTTTGGCATCGCTTTGTGCTTATTTTTGTGGATGAAGGTACATGCTGGCTGTCATTGTTTGTCGTCTCCTTTGTTAATTACTTGTTTATTTGTGTAATTGTTACCTTTTGGTGCCGTGACGGGCACGTCCGAGCATATTCCGTAGTATGTTGTCGGGTCGCCGTATCTTGGCATACTTTATAATGTCCCAATGACGTCAGAGGACTAAAGAGAAATCATAACAAAACGATCGACTTTCATACAAAATTTGCAACTGAAGGAATCTTTTACAAACATAATTACAAACACTACGTTTATAGCATTTTGCACGGCCATGTACTGAAATTCTGTAAAAACAAAAACAAACAAAGTTTGTCATAATTGGCACCCAAATCTGAAGTGAAAATAGCAATTTGGCAATCAAAATTGAAATTAAATAATTACACTGCAGAAAGTATTCTTCCCTCTTTCTGTTCGTTTCAGTCAGTTGAAAGTGGTGCTATTTCAAGAGAATTTGCCCCCCCCCTAAAAAAAAATTGCGAAATATTAACAATCAGCGCAACAGCACTCTTATCATTAGAATTTTGTTTCGGAACGGCTGCATTGTGTTGTGGAGGTAACTTCGATTTTGTCTGTACACCGCACAACGGCTACGAGGTTTCGATCGCTGCAGCACTATATCCTGCATGGCCCCATTTTACAGGGAGAAATCCGTCATAAATACTTAACCAACTTCATTAATAACAAATACAGGCAAAGAAATCTACCCGTTGTGATTTCTTTTCCACTTCTAACAGAACGAAAAGGATTTTCCTGCTGTCGTGTTTTGATCCCTAAAATATATTTTAATACAGAAAATAAAATATCGCTATTACAGATGTACTAGCGAAGTTAAAGCAAAATCCGGGGAGATGTTTTTCATCAGCAGGTCTCAATCAAAGTTGTTAAGACTCAATACGTCTTTATTAGATCTGTGTTGAATTCTATTCAACGATTCTACACGAAAATCGAATCTAGAACAGTCACCGATGTCCGTTAAATAAAAGAAATTTTTAACTCTGCGAATTATTGATAAGATTAAGATGCTAAAATACATAATGATGATTTACTTACCTGATCTCATACACTGAAAATATTTCCAGTAAACACCGCTGTAAAATAAAGTGTCTGTGTTAATTTTGGAGTTCCTTTAGTCAAATGTCAGATTACCATATGTCATGCATGGCCGTTTCCCTCAATGTGCACGACAGTGCACGCTGCCGGCATCCACAGTTGTGATGTAAACAACTTTACGGTAGCTATGGGCTTAAAACCGCCCGAGACAGCGTTGAACAGTGTACGACGCGCTAGCTCAGCGGGCACACTAATACCCTTTGCCCTCAACTCGATAAATCGGCTTTTTGGCGGTCCCAGACAATGGTAACTATTTGACTAGCGAATTGGCCGATTATAGCTGGCTTGTCGCTCACAATGCGATCAAAGAAAATTTACTGACAGCAGTGGGAACTTAATATGTCCTTAAAAGGGAACAGAGAAGCGAGCCAAAATGCTTTATTGTACATGTATGCACAAACAAACTTTTAAGCTGATGCTGAAAGCAATTTCCAGCATCGCAGCGATGACAAGCGCTAGCACCTTTCTTTGCAGATGACGAGTCTTCTACGGGTGGTAAAAAGAACACAATCGTTTTCAAAATTAAATCATTATTTCGCCGGCAACCCGCACTTAAACAAGGATTTATGGAGTGGGTTAAGGGGAGGGCAGGGCAACATCTTTTCGCCATTTCAAGAAGATAACTCGCTACAACATGAATTTCAGTCTTGACCGTCGTTTGCTTTTGAAGTCACACAAACTGCACCAATAACCACACAGTCAAACACTCCAGTTTTTTTAGTACGTTTATTTTTAATGACACCCTGCATGAACCAAGTAGTCAGCCATTGTTTGAAAAATGAACTAACTGCGGATGAAGGTCAGAAAATCTACCGATTGGGGAACTGAGAGGAAAGAGAAAGTTTGCAAAGAAGTTGTGTGGAGTTAAACTAAGTATTTGTATTACGATGGCAAAGAAATGATTCCGGTAAGAGTAAGAATTAATGCTTGAATAAATGGCATAATGAAAAGTCAAGAGCCAATCAGTTTACCTCAAACAACCGACAACCAACTAATCGACTGACAACCAACATACTGAACTACTCACAGCCAATCAAATCACCACCACTAATCATCGACCAGCAACCAACAGACTGACTCTCTGACTAAAATAACTCTGCGATCAATCAACAAGAAACCCCAAATCGAATAGATTTTCTGAAGTGAAGTGCAAAAATGTGAACCTAGTAACAGCAGTGCACTTGGGCACGAGTGAATGGTTAAAACAACGGCTACAGTACAAGACAAAAACAAGATCTCAACCAATCACGATTTGAACCACAATTCTACAACAAGTTGCAAAATCCCAAGAAGAATTTACAGTGATCTTGACAAAAAACTTCAGTTGGGATAACAAAACCAGATCTTAACCATCACGAGTTACACCAGATCAGTTACAAGTTATTCTCAGCATTAACCATGACACTATGAGTGGAATTACCCATCACCGCGCACTGCTGTTTCCCCAAATAGAACTTGAGCCAATGGCCAGGAAATATATTTCCAACCCTCATAAAATTACACAGATGAAGTTTTCGAAATGATCCATCCTGATTTTCTGTGTGGAACAATCCAAGATGACAACCACTGCATATGAAATAAAATTGATTCCACTCTTTTGAGCGTTGGACAATGCTGTGAGACAAATCCTAGCCAAATGAACAAGTTATTAGCACTATATATGTTGAATATAACCTTGAAGCTAAGTGTTTTTCAACCGGTATGTTTCATGCATGTTAGGAATGCAGGTAATAAGAAGTGACACACATAACGAGACAAAAGACAAAAAAATTGCAAGGGTGTCAAATATACAGAAAAAATTTGGTCCAAGTTGTGACATGTCTGAAAACTGAATCCCAAAATTCCTTTCCTCTCTGGAAACCTAAGGAAATTACCCACATCTCAATTTTTTTTTAAGAACTGCACACGGAATATTTGCCAGCCAATAAATCTATGGCTATTTGGGTAATTCCAGGGAACCTTTTCATCTTTAGTCTTAATGACAGGCAGCACTGTATTGGTAAAATATCTCTACATAGAACAACCTTCTCCATCAGTGCCATGTTTACAATGTTCCACACTGAATAACATCAACACAAATGCCGACCTGTTCCTATGCCATGAAACTGGAATTCCCGGACCAGAAATCAGACATGTTTTTGAGCTGCAGTGGTGAAATGGCTCGGATTTTACACTTATATACAGTTTAAAAATAAATTTAGAATGGAACTGACTGTATAACAGTGCCAAGAGCCAAACATAAACGTCATTAAGTAAAAAACAAAAATGAAACTCATGAAAGCATGCAGTGCAAAGATCCCCCAGTCTTTACACTGTACATGCTCCCACGTCCGGTAACAAAGCTATGATCTGATTGGAACCTGATCAAGGTGTTTATCAAATCAGAATTCCTGTGATTTAGATCAGTTGTGATCCAAGTCTCAATGCTTGAGATTTGACTGGTGGTGAGGTCAGAACCATAAATCACTGTGATTTAAAATCAGTGATCTGAAATAAATTTGGCCATAGTCAGACTGGGTGGTGGTGGAACCAAGCCACAAAATCACAGTGAGCTTAAATCAGCAAAGATCTGAATCACGTCTTGATCAAGATTATGACAGGTGGTGATATCAAAATCCAAAATCACTATGATCTCAATAAGTGATCTGAATCAGACTGAGTGACATCTAATCAATGGTGGTGTAAGATCAGAAATCACTTTGACTCACTCTAAATCAATCATGACCAGAATCAATTCGGATCAGTTCTGTACAGCAGTTCCCCCAAATCTGCCGACAAATGATCCTAAAAAGACCTGATCAAGAATTCAGACATAGCTTTGCATTCAACTTAAGATAAACAATTCCGGTTTTAAACTCTGGGTTTGTAGGAGCCATAAACCAAATGACCATACTTCACACACATTTCCAATTCACAATCATTAATTAATCAATCCAACTAACTCATCTAAGTTCATTGAAACATTCTGCCTGGAAAACTCTCTTCATCGTCACAATCTGAGAAATCACTAACTCTATACTGTCAAAGGTAATAGCACACTACGTGATATGACTACAACTTAAAAATGTGGGCAATAAATAAAATCTTGTAACTGACGCGTAAAACAATATATACAGACATTAACACATACTTTAATATTTACACATAAAAAAAACCTGGTATTCAATTGCTATTAGAAGGATGTGAATGTTTGAAGAACTGAATTATCTGTAGTATTGCACGGTTTGTTTTACTGGAGTAGTGGACGGAGAAAATGATAATTTGATCCTGGATGAAAATGAACGGATGAAGCTGATGAATGGTAGATTAGCTATTTGAGAGATTTTGATAGATTTTGATAGATTTTTCTGCATGAGTGATGGAATGTTTACATTGATGGAACATTTACAGACAGACCTGGTGAAGATTGCAACTCTGCACTGTCTAATTTGTTTTGAAGTACTGTCGTGCAATTTCGGTTCCAACTACAGAGGAACATTCAGTGAATACAAGAAGGTTCAAGGCAGATTGTGATGGTGTGAGTTTAGTGAAAGTGGAACCAAGTCAGGACCCATAACCAGACATCAGTCAAAAATCATCGAGAATAAGCAGATCTAAAATTTAAGTACTACATAATTGAAGAAGCTGTTTTGAGTGGGAGTTTGTTTACACAGTCTCTGGAAAGACTGTGCTGTGAGTGTGTAGGGTGCATGAGCCACCCACGTGATCCGAGGTCAATCTGACCAGTGAGATATTCGGAATTTGAAGCTACCAGATGATGAAGACAGTATGTCGAGTATTAAAGATGGAGGTGTTTCATAACCCATTACCCAAATATGGATACCGTGATTTGTATTGAAACAAAGATTTGTCAAGCGGCAATAAGGAATTAAGTAACTCGTTAAAAACTTAGCTGCTGAATTATTCACACAACCTGTTTGTCAAAGCTGTGCTGTGATTTGATGTAGGATGTAAGAGCCATCCATTTAAACCAATCAGAATTGATCTGATATAGGCTGGAACTGTGAATACCAAGGTGGATGATAAACTCAATTATTAAACCTTTGGAATGTTTGAAAACCAATTACCATATGAAGGTAGCAGGTGTGTATTGAAACACTACAGATGCAGTTAATTTAAAAATTACAATTAATTTTTTTTTTTTAATCATTTTATAATTTTTACTCAGACCTTTTTAAAATTTAATGCTGCTGCAAAATGAACAGAGTCATACGCACACCAGGAATTTTGCATCTGAAATCATGGAAAGAGGTTGTTTAACCCAAAGAGAACTGTATCCATAGCAACGTCAGGGTGAAAGACAATGGAATGAGTCTGTGCCAGCATGCAATGCAATTAATTGTCTGAGCCTTGACTCCTATCCGGTACCTAGACTCTCCTTCTGTTTGAGCTCAGCAGTGCACAAATGACAAATGACTGGACAGTCAGTAACCTGCCTAAAGTCTGGTACCCACTCTGTATCAATTGTATCTCAACTCTACATACCGGCAAGGCTAGACACCTGTCTGTTACTATGAAACACAAATTCCTAGGTCAACGTTTGCTTCCCACAATCGTCTCCCAACAGTGCATAAGGAAAACCAAAAAAACTGAAAATATTAAAATGGTTCACCGTTGGTTGAAATGAGAACTATGCGATGCTCTGGCCCATTGAAATCCCACAAATGAGATTATCTGCAGGCGCTCCAAATCACAGACAGTAAAAAATCTCTTTTTTTTTCTAAATTAGAAGTCTTAAAACTCTTTAAAAAATGACACAGAAAGACATTTTGACAAGGACAAACATACGGACGGGAGACACAGAGACAAACACAAACATCACAGAGTGGGAAATGTGAAAGTTTCAAATGCAAAGCAAAAGGACTTGTGAAGATTATTTGTGAATTATGATTTAAAAGTAAGAGACAGAAGATGAAAAATATTTTCAAGTAAAAAAAAATAGAAACGGTCCAGAATATCTCAACGGAACATTACAAAGCATCAGTGAATAGATGAAAAACAAATGGCCCGGTTAAAAAAAAAGAAACAAAAACAATGCCTAACATGTCTTAAAAAGATAAAATATTGAAACTTTCACACTTCCATCTTTTTTATATTCCTGCGGTTCACATCTGGGCAATGAAAGAAAGTTCAGAGGTCAAATGTCACTAATGATAACCAAACGATAAACTCCTCAGTAATCAGTCCAACATCAGTCTCAGAATTCAATGATCACAGCTGTGACATTTAAAGAGGTATCAACTAAAAATAAATAAGCGGAAAAGAAAAATTTTCAGCAGGAGGAAAATGAAAAAATGAAGAAAAATAATGTTCACAAATGACTGCTAAAAAAGAGAAAAAACAAAACTTTACTTTCTTCTTGTAAATTTTAACCAAAACAAATGCAATCAACAATTAAAGACTAAAAATTGACAACACTCTCAACTAGATCCCTCACCGACCCCTTTACACTCTAAGGCAAACGTACTGAAATTCATCCTACATGTACTTTAAAAAGCTCACAGGTGCTTCTCTCACTCACCCTATCCCCGTCTTCTCCCAACTACCCGTCCTAACACATCGAGGCTCCCCCTGAGCCCCACTCAGTCACCCTACCCCGCCTACTCCCCACTACCAATCCTTACCCAACAAGGCTCCCCCTGAGCCCCACTCAGTCACCCTACCCCGCCTACTCCTCACTACCAATCCTTACCCTACAAGGCTC